TGTGTTAAAAGATACCTGAAGCATTTAAATGGTAAATTCACATTAGTATAGGTGTTTGTATTGTAAAAGGTGGTGCCAAACTGCAGATGCAATTTTTCAGAAAGGATACTGGGGGTTTTTTATTATTATTTTTATTATATTTTATTTTTTTCCACATTCTTCTTGTGCTCTGAGAAGTTACACAAGTCTCTTTGTAATGATGTTAACTCATGGAAAAAGGAGACTGTTCCAGCTGGAACTTGCTTTAACTAGTAAAAACATCAATCTCGGCCTCACTTGTTCAAGCCAACATTATCTCTAATTATGTATCTGGACGAACTCCTGCAAACTCATTACCTAATTAAATAAACTAATAAACAACACTATTTAAAGCTATTTTATTATTAATTATAGAAAGCTTTTTTATGTAAACAAATGCCATGTCTGCTTGCATCTGTAAATAATTTGCAAATAGGGACATAGGAGATTGTGTTTGGATCTGAGGGAACTCCCCTAACTTCAGTCAAGTTAAGCTAAAGTGATCTGAGCCTATATAACTAAAAATAGACATTAAAGAGTCAGCAATAAAATGTTATGCGGAAGTTCAGTATAAAGCTTTTTTCCTAAAATGTGCTTTTTCTATACTTACAGAATCAGCAGGTTACATAGTACATTCACAAGTGCACGTATCTTGCTCTACTGCTTTGCTGGCCCTTGTGTGAGACAGTGCAGATTTTAAACCCAAATTCAGCTCTTTCTCTCTTTCTCTCTCTCTTCCTCTTTCACACAAACTGCTGCATACAAACATTCAAAAAATATTCCGCTGTATCTTACTTGGAATAAGAAACATTTCCCTTGCAAAATCAAAGAAAAGGAACACTTTAAGATGCTCCCACATTCATAATCTGTATCAGTCCCTGCTAGGCTTTAACTGATAGACCGTGCTAACAGGATAAAGTTTTAAATTGGTAATTTTTCATCCTATTAGGAAAAAAATCACTGTTTATGAAATAATCTGAAAGCCATACTTTCTATTACAAAAGTTACTAGTATTCATACTTTCTCTCGGAGAAAATTTTATGGTGAGCAAAAAAGACAGTCTTGCTTTTGAGACAGAAAAAGCATAGTCCTGGGGGAAGACAAGGCAGGGCTTCAAGATTCTCTCTTCACTCTGCTTTGCATTACTTTCTCTTCACGACTCTGGGCAAGGGAAAACCTGCACTTCATCAGGTTTGTTATTTGTTAAGTGGGGTTGCTGCATTCATTTCACTGAGCTGTTGTCAGTTAACCCATGTTATTCAAATAGGTGGGCATACTACCTAAATACAAAGCTGTACTGATCTTTTTCCCTTGCTCTGTGAACGCTCCACCTACTAACTGCAATGTTGTAGAGTGTGTATCTAAGCCTCTAATGCGCTTTCTTCGATCGTTAACACAAATGAATAGGAGTGGACCACTGTGCTGAAAGCAATCATGGCTGCGAGCAGCTGTGCCTGAATACTGGTGACTCCTATGTCTGTCAGTGCTCTGAAGGATTTGTCATCAATGAGGACCTAAAAACCTGCACACGTAAGTCTTTTGAGAAGCCTGCTTGATCTCCGCTCACCTGAGAAAGGTTTCTGTTTGCATACAAGGACACACCTTCAATTTATTCTTAAATACTGCATTCCAGAAATACCTTAATAAAGATTTGAAAGCAAACACACAGGGAAAAAAGTATTGGGATGGACTTAGAAAAATGTTGAGATGACTGTAAATTCTAGTATTTTCAGAAAAGGTTTGAAAGACCTGTTCACCCTCAGGTGCTGAGGACAGGTTTTTCAGTCATGTGGTAGATGTGTCTGCCAGACAGCTCATCTGATAGCAGTGTCCCCCAAACTATTTCATGTTATCTGGGAAAGGAGGAGTGTGAGTACCATGCCAGCTTTACATTTTGCACTGGAGTCCTTAACATGTGAACAAAAGTTGTCCTGGCAGCTCTCCGCCCTTCGTAAAATGATCATTGAGAATCACTGCAAAGAGCCAAATTGCCCCCTTCCCAGGAAAAATACACATAGAAAGGGCCAGGAAAAGAGGAATGTGAATGTATTCTGCCTCTTGACTTTTCCTGGACCTATCCCCTCCGATTAGAGCTTTTTGGCCACTTCTGCTACAGATTTTGGAGGCTATATTGTTTCCCAAGTTTGTTGCGCATTGGAGCAGCTCCACAGTTTGCTGCTTTTCTTGCACTTTGGCAACACAGTTTCAACAGGAGTAAAACTGCAACTGCTCAGACACAAAAATGATTTAAGGAAGAATGAGGCAAATTAGTGAAGGCGGTTGGTTTTTTGTCTTTGCCTTTGTCTTCGTCCTGTCCTTTTTAGCTTCACCCAGCATCTTGACAGGCTTTGCTTCTGTCTGTCACTGCAGCTCTCTAAAAAAAGGCAGACAGTAGTCTGCAAAAGCAGAACTCCTGTATTACATGTGCAACAGGGATTGGTCTATTTGGAACAAGCTGTCTGAACATTTATCTAAGCAAACCGCTGGAAATGCAGAAACAGCCAGACAATGTTTTGAGAGTTTTATCAACTTGCAAATGGAAAGATCTGTTTCCTTTGTAGTAAAAAAAGAGCTGTTTTTTCACTCTGACTCATTTTCCTCCAGGCACTAGCTGGAAATCTGTATGCAGCATTAAAACTGCTGGGGCTTCTGCTGTGGCTTCCTCCTCAATGAGAGTGATCCCAGTGAACTGTTCCTTTTCTTGCTAATGTACCCCTCTCCTCCAGTTAGGAGGACCTTCCCCTGAGGAACAGGTTTTGTTCTGTTCCTGAGTTCCAGATGAGTTGCTAAAAGCTCATGGACAACATTTTTTAGACCATCATGAAAAGAGATTTTGGCACTTTGGGATGTCCTGAATGAGCAGTTGAATGCAAAGGATTAACACTTAACACATACCACTCCTAATGGGAAAACGTCTGGGGAATCACAATTCTGGTGTCATATAAACAGGCACAAGTATCTTAAGACAGCTGTGGAACACCTGAGTGGTAAATTGATTTTTGCTTTGAGAACTAATTACATAAAAATGAGTGGCACTCTGTGTGCAGCCGATAGAGAGTAGTGAGTGCTGCTTGCAGAATACCAGGGGTCTACATCTTTGTATGACAGAGAAGAAATGATTAGGAAATTTGAGATGAAAAATGGACCATGTTCGACCACATTTATCATTTTCAATTTTCTGCAAAGGCTTGCAAAGTCTGAGCCAAAACCCACTGAGGTCCTGAGAGTTTTCTGCTTGCTGCCACCGCAGCTAGGTCAGGCACACAAGTGAGTTCTGGAAACCGCCATGTTCATATTAGATCATTTAGAGACTTTATTTAAAGAAGATTGTTCACAAGGTAGCTTTTCTGGCTTTGTCACTGTCTGTCATACACAATCATTGCTAAAGAGGGTTTTAATTCAGTTTGTAAGTATTGAGACATGCAGACTCTGCTGAGTTATGTTAACACAGTAAAATAAGTTTTCTCAACTCTTCTTGCAGCAACAAACACAAAGCATACAAGGCCCTCTCCCATTTTGTTGAAGGTATAGGTATATAATCAGATAAGGAACTGATTTATTGCTTAAGCAGTTTAATGTATTTATATTAACTTGCGTATATGCCATGCAAATACTAGAGATGAAGAATGATTCCTTCATTCGGTCTTAAGTTTTTTAATAAATCCAATTGCTTCTGCAGGAGTTGACTATTGTGCTCTGAGTGATCATGGCTGCGAACATTTGTGTATAAATGGTGACAGATCTTATACTTGTCAGTGTTTTGAAGGATACAGGCTTCGTAGTGATGGAAAAACATGTAAACGTAAGTTATTATTCAGCAAGTCAACATTATATTTTTTGTGCACATATAGAAGAAGTCTGTAAGGGTAGGATTTGATTGCCTAAACATTGCTGTCCAGTGTCATATTAAATGCTCCAGGATTCCAGAAACTCACAGTTTCCCCTGTGGTGTCATATTTGCCAGGAGTGTGTCAATGCCTTGGATACTCTAGAGTTTCTACAGTGACATTGGATGCATAATTTAAGGCACCTAAATCACTCTCTAAATGTCTGCTCAGTATGAATACTAGCTTTGAAATTGGACTGCTGTGGATCCAAAATTATTTAATTCAGATTTACATTCTTGTACTGGACAACTGTTATTTACAGGAAAATGATAAACAGCTGCAAAACTTAACTACAAGGGAAAAACCATTACTGTTTCAGATTTTAGCAGGTTTATTACTGAAGATAAAAAGACAATAATGGAAAGAACTGTTTTTCATCAGACAGTTTGCTTGAAATGTAGATGGGGGGTTTAGCTGCCTCTGTAAATCCGTGTGGGTCACTAATCTGCATGTTAGGGACACATGAAATTCTGTAAATTCTGGAATCTGAACACTCCATTTTTCCTTAGTAACACTGTAAATTAGTAGAATGATAAAGTTAAATGTTTTTGTTACAATAAAAGCTGACAGAGGTTACAACAAAAGATTTAGAGGATGAGTCCAGTATAGCATCGTGGACAAGAACATTCAGTAAGTGGGAATATAAGACTTTGCACATTCTGCCCTTAACTAACACAACTTTTTATCTTTTAAATTATTCTCAGGCAAAAATATCTGCAAATCGGTCAACCATGGCTGTGAACATCTTTGTGTTAGTGCTAACAGTTCCTACATCTGCAAGTGTCGTGAGGGATTTGCACTGAGAGAGGACGGGAAGACATGCAGAAGTGAGTGGTCTCTTTTGAACATATTTCTGTGTGCATCAGGCAAGGGAAAAAGGGGAGGTTATCACTTCTCACTGAGAAACATCGTTATGAAATCTACATTTATGAATATGTTTTAATTCATAATCTACATATGTAAATATATGTCTAAATCATTCACAGGCTGGGACATCTGCAAATCAGTCAACCACGGCTGCGAGCATATTTGTGCTAACAAAGATGACTCATATGTTTGCAAGTGTCATGAGGGTTTCTTACTGAGAGAAGATGGGAAAACATGCAGAAGTAAGTACTCTGATAATTACTGATAAGCTTTTATCTACGGTAGTACATTTGTGGAAGTGTTTTAACCAACAGCGCTTTCATAGTTTACTATCATAATACAGGGGTAGTGTTATTATACCTTCTGGAATCTTGTAAGAGACTCTGTGAACGGAAATAGTTTGTTTTAATGGACAAACTGATATGACCAGAGACAAAAAAAAACACAAGTGTTTAGGCACCAAGTGCTAGAAGTGCTTGCTCTCCAAATTTTTGTCCATTTTTTCTAAAGATATCAGTTGACTTAATAAAAATATTTATTTCTGCCTGCATAATATGTGCATTTGCAGGTGTGCTTTAACCAAACACTCTCAACTGTTCTCAGGTAAAGATATCTGCAGTTCTGTTGACCATGGCTGTGAACATGTTTGTGTTAATACTGATGAGTCATACATCTGTCAGTGTTATGAGGGATTTGCACTAAGGGAAGATGGAAAAACATGTAGGAGTAAGTACCATGATCTTTGATAGAAGTTTTTTCCTTATAATCTGTGTTTTCATAGACATGTTTTAAAACTACTGGCACCCTTAATTTTCTTCCAGATAAAGATGTTTGCAATTCTGTTGATCATGGCTGTCAACATGTTTGTGTGACTACTGATAATTCATACATTTGCCAGTGCTATGAGGGTTTCATACTGAGGGAAGATAAGAAAACATGTAAATGTAAGTTATTTGATGCGTCTGTATATTTTGCAATCAGAGATCTACTGAAGAATCATATTCTGTTAGAGGCAGGTCTTCTGATTTGTGATTTGCTCAGACAAAAATAAGGAGAAATTCTTAATGTTACTAGGAACTTAACACTTTTAATCTTTACATTTTTGGAAATGTTCTTATTAGTCAAACTATAGTAAATATCATCTAAATTATTCCTAGATAAGGACATCTGCAAATCAGTCAATCACGGCTGTGAACATCTTTGTGTTAATAATGATGATTCATACACTTGCCAGTGCCGTGATGGATTTGTACTGAGGCGAGATGGGAAAACATGTCGAAGTAAGTAGCTTATCTTCATAAGCTAAGAAAGAAGAAATTTCATTTCCCTTTTATTAGGAGGTTATTCACAGGTTCACAGTGCTCAGAGCAGAATATTGTCCTCTGTAGATCCTAAGTTTTCTATGAATTAATTATTGCTTGAACTAAAGATATATTTTAGAAAATGAGCCAATTTTAGGTGTAGAATGTAGCTTTTAAAACGGGAACTTCACTGCTAGACTGAGTATGTCCAGCTTTAATCTTGAGCATCGGATGTTGTTGCTTTTTACTTTGACGGGCTGCAGTTCTAATTGCCCTGTGTTGTTTTGTATTTACTCATGTAGACCATGCCTTAGCTCTTAACCTGTTCTTTAGTAAACGACAAGCAGGTGAAAATCTTTCAGGCTCTTTATATGTTTTCCAGTCCTTTCATAAGCCTCTGCTTGCTCTCCTAAACCCTCTGCCAGTTATCAGCCTCTCTTTGGGGGTGCCACATCTGAACAAACTCTCCTAATAGGAAGCTCAGCAGGGCCCATGGTAGACGAGTTATAACCCACTTAATTCTTCTTTGAATCTACCCTTTTTGTATGAAAAAAAAAGATATCATTGGTCTATGTGACCATAAGATTCTACTAGAGCACATGTTCAGTCAGTTACCCCCCGTGACCTATAAGCTGTTTAAGATTCACAGTCACACAGGTGTCCCGCATCCTGTAAGTACAGCCTTCGTTCTTTGTTTCTAGATGTGTAAGCTTACTTCTAGCTATTTTAAAATATATATAGTTTGCTGGTACCCAGCTTGCAAAAAGATTCATGTCTCCTTATAGCAGTGACTGCTCTATTTTTATTTGCCGTTCTCTGAAAATTGGAGTAACTTACAAACTTTGTCAGTGATTACTTTATATTTTCTTCTGCATTGTTCATAAAATTGTTAAGTAGTAGAGGAGCAGAGCAAATTCTTAGAAACAAAGCCACGTGACCATTCCCCATTTACAATTTATTCCTGAGACCTCTCTAGCTAGTGTTAACCCATTTAATGTAGCCTGTTTTCTCCATCAGAATAAATACCAAGACTGATGCATTACTGAAGTCCCCATTGTGTGAAAGGTATAGGCTTTATGAACCAGTCTTATAAGCAGCTAAAAAGATACTGATTAAATTTTCCACAATCTCTTTTTCCACAATGCCAAGTTGATTGATATTAATTTTCTTTCTTTGATTTTCTCGAAATCAAGTTGCACGTTATCTCTTCCGTTATTTTAATGCAGGTCAGTGTCAAACTGACAAGCTTACAATGAACTAGTTGTCCTTTTCAAGTACTGGCACAGCAGTAGTTTTTCCTCTGTGCGTGTGTGTGTGTGTGTGTGTGTGCACGTGTGGGTGCACGCGGCTGTGTGCTGGGAGTGGAAACTCCTCGGTGTTCTGGAGTTTCCTCAGGGTTCTAGGGCTTTCTGAAAAGTTGCACTAAGCATCCACAGAGGTCTTCAGCCAACTCTTTTACATCTCTTGGCTTCAAGTTACCTGGAATTGCTGATTTAAAAATGTGTCTTTAGTAGGTCCTGTGTGACCTACTTCTCAGCTGATGAAACTCTCCATTTCGGTAATATCAGTAGCATATTTCACAAATGCAGATCTGTATAGACCAAGTATTTTTACCTTAATGCTTTCTGCATTGAGATTGGCGATTCTGCCATCTCTGTTTACTAATTAACCATATGTTGTTAGAATTTTGTTGTTCCTAATACCTTTAAATAACTTACTCATGCTATCCTTGATTTTGTTGGCCATGCATTTATTTCCCTTGTCCTTTATCTCAGTATGTCAGTTCCTAATATTTTCATTTATAGTAAATATTGTGAATTTTTCTTTCTGTCACTCATTATATTCAAATCCTATTTTTATTGTTTATTTTATTTTACTGTTGCTTTCTATTTCATTTCCTAAACCATAGGATTAGGTTCTTGGGGGGGTATAGGTAAAATAGCCTTAAACAGTGCAATCATCATTCACTTTTTTTTTTATTATTTCCCCTCCCACCACAAAATGCTTCAGCTCATATTTGCATTCAGCTGCGTTACTTCTGAAGTAATATCCCTATAAACTTCTGGTGTGGATTTGATTCTGTCTCTAAACAATAAATGTGTCTGAGTTACAGCTGTATATAAGCTCATGCTAATTTTTGCTTACATGATCATTTCTTCTTTATCTGTTAGAATGGAATCTAGTTTAGATTTGTGATGTGTTGAATGTAATGCTTGTTGAATAAGAAAATTATCCTCTGTAGTATTTTTAGAAACTTTTCTATCAGCAGCATGAGACCTCCAGGTAA